AGGGTCACAGCCCTTGGGCTTCTGGTAACGTCCGGACCGCGCTGCGCAGCCCGGGCCGCAGGGTCCCTCAGTCGGCGGCCAGATCGCTATGCCGATGACCCTTCCCCTTCAGAGAAACGGGATGATCGAGTTTCAGAGAATGAACCTCACCCTGGGAACCGCCGACATGGAGGTCACCCCGACGTGTGTTAATAATCATTTCTACGCTGTGCATTCCTGTTTTCTCGAGACACAACAAACGCAGGAAATGTTTGCCAACTCGCCAGGTGTCAGGAAATGCCTTAAAACCCTGGTGGCCAGCCACTGGGCGTCCACCTAGGAGCCAGGGGGTCACGGTTCCATTCCCGGTCAGGGCACTTGCCCGGGTTTCGGGCTCGATCCCCAGTGTGGGTCGTGCAGGAGGCGGCCGATCCATGATTCTCTCTCATCATGGATGTTTCTCTTTCTCTCTCCCTCTCCCTTCCTCTCTGAAATCAATAAACATATATTTTTTTAAAAATCCAACGCCCTGGTGGCCTGGCCGCCCGCTCGGGCAGCCACACCTGTGCAGAAGCAGAGGTCACTGCATTGTAAGGCATGAGCTTAGATGCAGGGACCGTCCTCCCTCCCTTCCGAGGACTCCCTGGCCTGGCTTCCGTGGGACCAAGCATTTGTTCCAGAAGAGGCGCCACGCGGGCTCCGTGCCTGGCAGCCTGCCTGGGGGTTATAAGGAAACCACGATTCCCTGCGTTTACTTGGTTTGAAACCCTATTTCGATATCCACCAAAGTGCCAAGATGACAAAGGCCATCTCAGAACGACGGAAATACAGGGTTCTGTTCCTATGTCACTATGTTTCAACTTAAATGCTCAAAAATGGAGGGAGCTTTATTCTTTTTCCCAATTGTTACACTAACTGAAGTTTTCAGGAACTAGCTAAAAATATAAAGAACAAGATAAGCACCAATATGAATATCTCTATATTTATATGTTTTTCCCCAAAAGAAGATTATTCAGAGGGCATTGCAGCAGGCTTTTTCCACTCACCATACAGTGGAGACACTCAGGCAGCCTCCACGTGACCGTCTGCTGAAATCACGGCGCGTCTCCGTCCCGCGGTAACCGCTGCCTCCGGATGTCCCTGGAGATGCGCGAGGAGCCCCCTGGGGTGCACCTGCATGGCCAGCGGCTGCAGTAGAAGCTCACCAAGCGCCTGCTGCACGTCTGTGCCCGTCACCACTGCTCCGACTTAAATACTGTGCAGCTCAGTGACCAGCCATGCAAAGAGGCAATTGTTTCCATGGACACGAAGGTGAATGTTTGGGGGGAAACCCAATGAAGGTGTCACTTTAGAAAACAGCTGTTCTCCAACTGGGGGGAAGGGAGTCATGTAAATCGAGGTGTCTCCACCTTGATGGTGGGGAAGGGAGGATGTCCCCAATGCTTGAGGGAGCAGAGCTCCCCTTCTCTGCTACCCTGGACAACCTACTTGTCCACTTTACTGACTCGATCGTATGCTCACAGTGTTTAGTCATTCATGTCCCAGGAGGCAGGACAAGCAGCCGTCAGGGGGACTGGGAGCTGGCAGGTGAAAGACCCCTTAGTAGCTGCTGTTCTGTGGGAGACAGAAGGCCTGTCACCTGTTTCATCCTTCCATCCATCCATCCCTCTGCCCATCCATCCATCTGTCCATCCGTCCATCTGTCCATCCATCCATCCCTCTTCTCATCCATCCGTCCATCCATCCATCCCTCTGCCCATCCATCCATCCGTCCGTCCATCCATCCATCTGTCCATCCATCCATCTATCCATCCATCCCTCTTCTCATCCATCCATCCCTCTTCTCATCCATCCATCTATCCATCCATCCATCCCTCTGCCCATCCATCCATCCATCCTCTTCCCATCCATCCATCCATCTATCCATCCATCCATCTGTCCGTCCATCTGTCTGTCTATCCATCCATCCATCCATCTGTCTGTCCATCTGTCCGTCCATCCATCTATCCATCCATCCATCCATCCCTCTTCCCATCTGTCCATCCATCCATCCATCCATCCATCTGTCCAACTGTCCGTCCACCCATCTATCCATCCATCCTCTTCTCATCCATCCATCCCTCTTCTCATTCATCCCTTTACCTACCTATCTACCCATTTACCCTTCCTCTCATGCATTCACCCATTCATTGCAGAAGTATTTATTACATGGAATATATGCCAACTTGCTTTCTCTTCAGTATCAGTGAGGTTGGGCCTCGTTGGAGACCACTGACCTTGGCATTTTCTTTTGCTTCTCTGGTGTTTCCCAGATTGGTCCATGGGGGTTCAGGAAAAAAATTTCAGAACTACTGTTTACATTTATTTTCTATGGCTTTTAAAAGTTCCTAGCTTGAGTGTTTTATGATGAGCACTAGAGGCCCGGTGCACAAAATTCACGCAAGGGGCTCAGCCCTCACAGCCTCAGTGGCTGCCTCAGTCCTCGCAGCCCCAGCTTCGTCTGGAAGGTCGTCTGGAAGGATGTCCAGAAGGTCGTTCGGCTGTCTGGTCTAATTAGCATATTATGCTTTCATTATTATAGATATTGTATTAAGACTATGCTGTGTATCTAGTTTAAAATCACATGCTCAAAAAGATTGCCATCAAAGCGTGCAGAATCCAAACATTGTGGAGACCACTGCTGTGAAGAATAGTCGGAAGACTGCAGAGCCGTTGGGGACGGACAGACACCAGCACTCGGAGGGAAGGGCACAGGGGCCCCGGGCATGAAGCTGGGCAGCTGGAGACGCCTCGGCCCCTGAGAGCAGGTGAGCCCGCCTTGGTTTGACTTTACTGCCCAAGGTCTCACGGGTGGTGGGTGCCGTGCGGGGGGCAGAAGCCAACCCCTCCTCGTCTAGCTCCTGCCCCACTGTCCCCGCCACCCCTCAGGGCACTGGGCTGAGGCCCAGGCCTCTGGCCACGGCAGCAGATCTTTCAGTGACCTCACTCCTTGAGAGCACATCCTGCAACGTCACTGCCCAGCCTGCAGGCCAAGACTTCCAGTGCTTTCCGTTCCGGTTAGTGATGACACTACCTCTTGCATGAGCGTAACTGTCGCTCACCCACCTCAAGAAAAAGGAAAAAGAGCCCTGGCCTGTTGGGCTCAGTGGATAGAGCGTCGGCCTGCGGACCGAAGAGTCCCGACCCAGGTTCGATTCCGGTCAAGGGCTTCTACCTCGGTTGCAGGCTCCTCCCCGGCCCAGCCCTGGTCGGGCCCGTGCAGGAGGCAACCCATCCATATGTCTCTCTCACGTCGATGTTTCTGTCTTTCCCTCTCTCTTCCACTGTCTAAAAATCAATGGAAAAAGTGTCCTCAGGTGAGGATTTTAAAAAAAGGGGGAGGATTAATTCAGGCAAACTGGATGCTTCCCCTAATACAGAAAAAAGTGTCTTCGTGCTGTATCAGTTCCCTGAAAGCGCGTCCATCACCTGCCCGCCAGGCTGAGGGGACCTCCGCACTCCTATCTGCGCAGCCCTCGAGCCTCAACAGCGCCCGCCTGTCCTTTATGAGCACCGAGGGTCGCCTACCTCGGAGCGTCCCACTTCCCAGCACCGGCAGAGTCTCCTTGGCCTTTGTGTTCCCCTCTGTAGAATGGGCTCATACGTAGGGACATCACTGGCAGGAAGCTGTGAGGCACAAGCAGACAAAAAGTGGGAGGCAAAGAGGTGGACATGCTGGTTTTGACCCCAGATGCTTATCTGGAGCAGAACATTCCGGTGAGGGACTCGCCCTTCCATGTGTAAGGAAGAGCTCTGGTTCATTGAACGAACCGTTTAAATAGCTTCTAACGATTTAACAAAATCACAAACGGACTCAGGACAGCTGTCTTGCTTTTTTATTGAACAATCATAAACATGCCCCTTAAAAACAAATTCCAACAGCTTATTCCGTTTACATTCAAAGACCGCTCGACACACACACGCACGGGTTTGTTGGCAAACTTTGAGAATAAAACATAGGTAAATACTGAAATAGTTCTTAAATAAGTCTTTACTCCAAATAAAACACTTCTGCAAATATTTCCCCACCAACTCCAGCAAACAGCGCTGTTTGCGCACAGGTCCTCCCAGGGGCGCTCCTAATTCCGTGTATCAGCTGCATTTAAAGGTGAAAAGCACGAAAGGAACTAGGCTTTACCGCTGGCATTCCCTGTGAAACTGGCTCCTTTCCAAACCTCCCTTAAAGCTATTTTCTACTTTAAGTTTAAAACTTGTCAGAGTCCCTGCACGTACTTTTAAATAAATTCTCTCTGTTGCTCATTTTGTGACATTTGATAAATCCAGTGACTCGATTTTCTAGGTTCCTATTATGCTTTCTCACTATAATATTACTATAATTATTAATAAAAATATCCCGTGCCTTGGATTGTTCTAAGCATTTTAAACAATATTAGGTTCATTTTCCCAAGAGGGTGATAAATATAGGTGTGGGGGGTGTCTCGTACTAACAACCGTGTCCAAAAACATATAAGTATTTACCATCCCACCTCCCCCAAGTGGGCCACATACTTCCCAGCCCCCTCG